CCGTTGGCACTGACATGTACTATGACTGCTGGCTGTCCTCCCTTTTCTGAATGCCCTACAGCTGCTCGAAGACATCCCTGACCCTAGCACAGGGAGGCAACATATACTATAAGTCTTGTTTGCTACTCCAGAACTGCATGTTGGTTCCCCTTACAATCAACTTTTTATCATCACTAATGCTGTCCCATTCTTTTTCCTCCCCTACTGTGCAGCAGAACCAAGTGTTGCCACAAACTTGCTGATGCCTAGTAACCCCCACTGTATCCAACACGATATATCTGTTTTGAGAGGGGAATAGTCACCGGGAACTCCTGCACTCCCTGCCTATGCTTACTAGTCTTCCACGTAGTCACCCTAAGCTTTTCTGCCTGTATAGCCCTTACTTGTTATGTGACCAGCATGCTTAGCGTGGTATCAATGACATCCTCAGCATCATGGATGTGCCATAGTGAGTCCATCGTAGCTCCAGGCGGTCAATAGGGAGCTATGGCAGGACATACTTCTTTATATGTGGTCACCATGGACACTGGGAGAGTCCCTGGTTTCCCATGTATTACAGGAGGAGCATTTCACGACGCTGAGTTTGCCTGCCACTGTGAATTTTATCAATGGCAAGCAATAAAGTAGAAACCAATTACTCAAGAAGATAGCAAGAACTGCAGATGCTGGAGTCCAAGGCAATACAGCATGGAGTTGGAAGAACACAATAGATCAGGCAGCACCCGAGGAGCAGAAAAGTTGACGTTTCAGGTTTACACCCTTCATCAGGACACAATTACTCAATCTTACTCACTAATCACCAAAATAAAATCTCGCGCTCGCGCTCTCGCTCTCATTCCTAATGAATTACAAACCAAAAAGTAAGGATTTCACACTGTCTCCCTTCTGGTACTACTCACTCAGTCCCTCAAGCTGTATCCGAAGCAGCCAGTCCTCTTGCTCAATATTTGAGGTGTCATGGATTTTGTTTAACCATCAGTCTGGTTACCAAATACAAAGGAAAAAGTACCAGGGACAAAATTTGAAATTGCTGGAAAAGCTCAGTAGGTCTGGCAGCATCTATAGAGAGAAATTAGAGTTAACATATCTGGTTCAGTGACCCTTCCTCAGTGTTACCAAATTGCTACACAGTCTTTACTACTACGACAATTTCTTCTGCAACAAATCACATTCCAGTTTTACTTTATATAATGTAACCACAATATATTCTCCACCAATCTCATTTAATGATACCTTAGCTCCCATTGAATTCTCTGCTGGGAATATCATCTTTCTCCAGCAAAAGTAATTGTGTTGCCCAGTATCTCTTGGTATGGTTATGAGTTTAGCTACCTCACCTGAAGAACAAAGGAGGCACCTTCTCTTTTGACAAAAATTGTACATTGATCTTATCTGCCTTGCTGGTTTCTTTATTAACGACAGAAATCACCTGTGGCCTTCTTACTATAGTTAGGCCTACAACATGATCCGTGGTGTTATCTTTTTGAGTTCACTTCTCTAATTCATTTTCATTAACTTTTGTAAGTCCCCTGAGTTTACCTCATAACTTCCAACATTCTGAATGTACATGACCCAACTTATTATAATAGAAGTTTAGAAATTAAACATTGATTTTTTTTTTAAGATTTATTTTTAGTTTAACTTATTATTTAGATATAGAAGTTGTTAAACATGTGCCCCCTGGTATTTAACATTTCTATCCTGGGAAAGACACTCCAATTACTCACCCTATCCATGCTTCTCATAATGGAGATCGCAACAGGTCGTGTACTGCGGGATAGTATCAGGAGCACTTTCATCAAAGGCGTCTTGGTTGAGGTGGTTCTCAAAGAGCTTTGTCCAGCAGGCGTAGATAAGCAACTCTGTTTTTTGGCTGTCGGTTAGGTAGGTTCCTGTGTACTCAGACCGTTGGTGGCTTTAATTATATTGAAGAAGCCATGCACAATGTGGTTGTTGATAAGTCCCTGACGGATCTGCGCTCTTTCTGTCACCATTTATTCTTTAGGTCACAATATCTTTGTTGTACCCCAGCCTTCAATTGCCTATAGGCTTGTTTCCTCTGGCTCAAGTTTTGGTGGAACTTCCAGGTGAGGAATAACATGTTCTAAGAGATCCTGGATTTCATGATTGTTTTCGCCAAACCAGTCTTGGTGTTTCCTGATCAAGAGGTTGAGCTCCTCTAAGCAGGTGCTGACTCTTAACAGCTTTTAGGGTGGATATGGTCCTGTGGGCACTCTGATAGATTGATTGTTGTCAGGTTTTCTGAGAAACGTTGCCTGAATAGGTTTCTTTTTTTCAGGGTCTTTGAGTCTTCTACAATGGAGTTATTTTTGGCTCTGCCGGTTTGGCGCCGGGTCGATGGAGGTGGTAACGCAGATTAGTCGATGGTTGATCCAGCATTTTTCAGCTCCCGTCATGGCATGAGTAATGGAAGCACTTTTGCAGTTCCTTGCTGGAAAGCTGATGTAATCTATTAAGTACCAGTGCTTGCATGTGACTCGACCCACAGCAATGTAATTGACTCTTTAAGTGCGCTCTAGGATGGGCTGGCAACACCCTTGTCCCGTGAATGAATTAAAAAAGGGAATAGTCCATTGAAGTTTGTTTTTCCTATGCCTTCCTTGCCAAACAGGTCTTTCCAAAGGTTTGCATGCCTCCTGACTCTGTCATTCAAGTCACTGAGGATAATCAACTTGTTTCCCTGGGGATACAGGATAGCATTATTTTGAGGCTCATATAGAATGCTTTTTTTGTCCTGTATGTTGTGCCTACGGCCAGGACAGACGCTGACAGCTGAAGTTCCTTTGGTTATTTCCGTTGTTGAAGGTGGTTTAAGAGTTTGTTTGGCTGTTTAAGGGTAGATGGCCAGTTTCTCTTTCCCATTGAAACTAAATTAATGAGTTAAATGAGTATAGTGATAGATAAAGAAGAGGTACTAAAAAGGCTGGCAGCATTCCAGGTAGAGATATCGCCAAACCTGGATGGGATGCATCCTAGATTGCTGAGAGAGATAAGGGATCAAATTATGCAGCTGTTGACAGAAATTTTCCAGGCCTGTCCTGAACACAGGATTAGTCCCGGGGACTGCAGAATTGCAAATGTAACATTGTTGTTTAAGAAGGGGGCAAAGGATAACCAAGGATGCTACAGACCTGTGAGCTTGAAATCAATAGTGGGGAAAGCTGCTGGAGGCCATAATACTGGAATAAGGTAAATATATACTTAAAGAAAAACAAGTTAATACTGGATAGTCAAACATGGCTTTTGTCAAGGGCTGGTCATGTCTGACAAATTTAGTTTGATCTCTTTGATGAGGTGACACAGGCAGTGGATGAGGGTAGGGCTGTGGTTGTTGTATTTTTGGACTTTCAAAAGGCATTTGATACAGTGCAACATGGCAGGCTGGTTAGCAAACTGTAAATGTTTGGGATAGGGGGTCCTTGGGAGCATAGATTAGAAGTTGACTAAGAGATAGGAAACTGAGGGTAGGTACAGATGGGCATTTCTCAGATTGGAGATGAGTTGAAAGTGGTGTACCCCAGGGATCGGTGTTGGGACCGTTGCTTGTTCCAATTTATATAAAAGATTTGGAGACGGGTGTTGAGGGCAAAATGTCTAAATTTGCAGATGATACTAAGCTAGGAAGAATAGTGAATTGTGAGAATGATCCTGAGTGACTTCAGAGGGACAGTGGCCAAATGGGCAGACACCTGGCAAATGAACTTCAATGCAGAGAAATGTAAGGTAATGCATTTTGATAGAAATATGGAGAGACAATGCAGGCTAAATGGTGCAATTTGGGGGAGGTATAGAAACAGAGGGACCTCAGGGTTCATATGTAGATAATATACTAAGTAAAGTCCTGACGAAGGGTTTCGGCCCAAAACATTTGAGTTTACTGCTCCTCTGATGCTGTCTGACCTGCTGTGCTTTTCCAGCCTCATACCTATAGACTCTGGCTTCCAGCATCTGAAGTCCTTATTGTCTCCTAATCGTGGAACATTTCTGTTTCATTCTAAATTTTGCTTTTGCAATTCCCATGGTGACCTGTACTGTGAAAAAACTGAACTTCCCAAATGGCCCCAATGGAAGAAACCAATTGAGAAGATATTAATTCTTCAAACAATTAAACTAAAACTAATTGACTAAAACTGAAAGTAACTGAGAAATTCTACTCAATCAAAGCCCTGAATTGCTCTTTAAATAGCTGCTACTAGTGTCTCTGATTTCTTGGGCCATGCTATTCATAAATGTAGTTCATAAATCTGGAGCTTGCGAAGCCTCAGGTTTCTTTATCTGTGCTGCGCAAATTTAAGCGTGCAGGTGCAGCAGGGAAAGAAGGCAAATGGTCTGTTGACCTTCATAGCAAGAGGATTTGAGTTCAGGAGCAGGAATGTCTTGCTCTAATTATTCAAGGCTGTGGTGAGACCACACCTGGAATGTTGTATGCAGTTTTGGTCTCCTTATCTGAGGAAGGATGGTCTTGCTATGGGGTTATACCAGACTGACTTCTGGGATGGCAGGACTGACATGAGGAGGGATTGAATCAGTTAGGATTATATTTTCTGGAGTTCAGAAGAATGGCGAGGTTCTTCTAGAAACCTATAACATTCTAACAAGACTAAACAGGATAGATGTACAAAGGATGTTCCCGAATGCTGATGAGACCAGCATGAAGCCAGTACGTAGATGGTTGACAAATGGCCTCCTGTTTGTGCTTATAACACGTGTGGTGGTTTCACTGTTGGTTGTGATCTGGTCTGAGATATTTGTGTATCTTTGTTAGCATAGGATCAGATACAGCTGTGATTCACTGATTGTCTTGAGTCATACAAATGTAGGGTGGCTGAGGATCAGAGGGAACTGAAAAGCTTATCCAATTTAAGTCAGTAGGTCTGAGTTAGGCAGAGGTGCTGGAAAGGAACGCAGTCCCAGTGTCCTGCAATTAATGCAAGTTATCAAATTGCTCTTGCTGAAATGTTCTCGTTGATCTGTTGCAGTTGTGACTGAGGAGGAGGTGGCTCAGGCTTTAGAGGATGGAGAAGAGATGGCTGCCATGCACAACAAAGAGCCCATGGAGCCAATAAGGAATTGCTCGAGGAGAGAAGTCAGCACCTCTGAACCAAGCACGCAAATGGAAAGTGATGTCTTGAGTTTCAGAATGGAAGAGACAAAGTGAGGAAAGGGCAGTATCAACTTTCTGTTTGAATTTAATCAGCAGGGTTAATTCACAATTTCCCCGTCACACACAAGTAGATTATTTTTAGAGCTGAATGTTTAACAGTGAGCGGGACTGAATGGCTACTAAGTAACCTAACTGAAAAATTCCTTGCCAGCTCTTAGGTTTTATACAAGAGATTTCGTGTTCATTTCTAAACGAGATCTTGATGCTTATGAATGTTCTAATCTCCATTTGGAGATAACTGACCTCAAAAATTGCAGGGTGAATACAGTACTCTTAAATTCTACCTCCCTGTCACCCCATTTCTCCAGTGGAAATTCCTTATTGTGGGGACAATATGGTCTCTTTAAGGATTGTGCTGGATTTAACGGAGTGGTGGGGTAGTCAGCCCCAAATAAACTGACTGATAGAAAGTCTGCACCACAGCAATAAAACCATGAGAGTGGCAGTATAAACAGGCTGAGGGCCAGACTTTCTCCTCTCATTGATAGGAAGTCCTGCCGTTGTGAGCCATTGGCTGTAGCATGTCCAGCAGTGAAAAAATCTCACCAGTGGTGTTTGCTGGGACTGCAAGAAGGCCCGGGGAAGAAGGTCATGGTGGCAGGTGTAACGGTTAGTAGCCCAGTGGGCGAGTAACACAGCCCTCCTTTCTGGGGCACAGGTTAGTGCTGAGTTAAAAAGGGGGTGGCTTTACATGCCGCAAAGACCACCACCTGGACTGTAAGATCCAGCCCGTTGAATTCTACGGCACAAGAGGTCATTTAGCTAAACTTGCCTATACTGCCTCCATGAAAGGGAATTGGACTCACTCTTGCCCGTCACCTCTATCACTACTTCCGTTTTTAGGAATTGATCTAATTTTGTTTTGGAGGTCATTACTGAGTCTGCTGCCTCTAACCTTTCAGGTAGATTGTCCTATCTCGTAGTTTGAAAACACCTCAACCCTCTCGCAATGGCTTCTTGCCACTCCCTGGCCCAATGTTTAACCAATTATCTGAAATGGGTCATGTCTGGTTGCTGAGCCTTCTGTCTTATTCCCAAATAATGCCACATGGAATTCGAACAGTTAGGTGGTTGCTTTTGAAAGGCGCAAATGCAATTGGCTGAAGGGTCTTTATCTATATTGTAGATCACTATGACAGTGATGTTATGGGGCTGAATTGTGTGGTGAGGCCATTGATATTTTGGTGTTCAATTTCATACTGAATATTTAGAGCTGTTGCAATTGTCTCCTCATACACGAGAGAGCCTGAGGCACTTAATAGTCAACTCAGGACACCAAATAAAAGAATGAAAGTGGAGAGCAGAATTGATGGTTAAACCAAGTCCCATAGATAAAAGCCAGTCTCTAATTCCGTATTGCCCAGATGAAAACCTGATTTTGCAATGTTTATAACCTTGAAAGTGGAAGAAAGAATGAAAATGAAAATTTGGTAACATCAGAACCTGCTTGTAGGCAGTATTATTTTACCAATTACCTTTCAGAAGTATTCTGTAGAATATGTACACACTGTAGACTAGTTAGCTTAACATCTGTTATTGGAAAAAAACTTAAATGCACAGTACAAGCAAGCTGAGTCATTTTGGCTTCATGAAGGGAAGTTTATTGGCAATCTTTGAGGAGGTAAAAAGCACGATTGGTAAAGAGAAACTAGTATCTGTAATATATTTAGACTTCCAAAAGATATTCAGTAAGGTACCAAACATTAGGCTACTTTGTAAGGATCCATGGTGTTGGGGTAGTGTATTAGCATGGATAGAGAACTGGATAATTAACTGTCAGGGAATTGGGATAGAATGGTATTTTCAGGATGACAACCTGTAAATAGTGCCAGAGGGATGGGCTGATTCCTGTCACTGATTCCAGTTAAGCCTACAGTTAGATATGATTAAAGACTTTTGAATGGCCAGTGAGTTTGAGAGTCATTCATACAGGAGACCTATCCAAAGTGTGTGTATGTCAGCCATGGAGGTGCCCACTGAGTGACATATTTTATGGACAATAATGGCAAAGCCGAACTCCTCAAAGAAATACAGCGTGGAACCACTTATGGTTGTAGTTCAGACAGATCAGGCCACAGAAATGTATGATTTCAGGGTCACATTTACTAATCAAACTGGCTTTCCGTCTAGTAAAATCCGTGAAGAACTTGGAATGAAGCCGCTGGGAAGAGATAAATTTTCCTCCTCTGTTGGAGTGAAGGACCTAAGTACCTGCAATGGCATGCAAAGGGTGAGTGAAGTATCTATTATGTACCATTTGACAGGGATATGATGCTAATGGCCTCCTATTCTATCTCTGAAACAGCTGCCGATTAGTCCCATTGCTCTGTAAAATTTTTGCTGTTCAAGTTCCTTTTTGTGAGTCATTATTGACTTCTATTACTGAAACAAGCCACTTTCAGACAGCACACTTCTAGATCACAATCATTCACTCCTTCATGCAGGGTCATTTCTGGCTCTTGTTACTTGAATCGGAGCTCCCCTGGTGACCTAATTTGCCACAATGGTTTGTCCTCAGATTCTTGGAAATCCTTCATGATTTTGAAAACTTGTTGCAAGGAGAACAACGCTGTGTTTCTCCAATCTCTCCAAAGCACTGAGCTGGGAAAATTCTTCTGCACCCTTTTAAAGGCTGTGACATCTTTCCTTAAGTGTGGTACTCCGACTTGACACAATAATGAAAACAAAGTACTGGAGAGACTGGGCAGGTGTGTCAGCACGAGTGAGGCGCGAAACGGAGTTAATGTTTCAAGCCTGATACAATTCTTCAGCTGTATACATCAGCTTAGGCCTATCTCAAGGGTCCTTAATGCCTTTATAACTGCCTCTTCCTTGAACTGGCAGGTTCATCTGTCCATTCATAGTTCTGTTGGCTCCTGCATGCTTTCATTTACACTGCCTGTTCGTACGCTTCCTACAGAGGAAACCATTTCGTACTCTTTGGAATTAACGTGATCTGGTAAGTGTTTGTCTATTTCGCCAGCATTACAACACTCCCTCACTATTCTCCTCATTAGCTCAGTTGACTGGATGGTTGTTTTGCAATGCAGAGTGACACAAATGCATTTATCAGATTCACTTGCCGCACTGGCTGAGGTTACCATGAAGGTCCTGCCTACTCAACCTTGTCCGTCGCCTAAAGTGTGGTGATCCTTTGGTTAAACTCAGTACCACTCATCTCTCTGATGAGAGACTTGCACGATGGCGACTTCGCCTTACATTTGTTTTACTGCACTTCCCAGCTTCATGTCACCTGCAAACTTTCAGTATTTGCCCTGTCACCTGAAGTCCAAATCAAACATGACTCCAAAAGCCCACAGCACTGAGCACTTGGGAGGACCTGAATCTAGATTTCCTTCTTGTCTGAAAAATAAAGGTTCACCATTACTCTACTTTCTCACTCTTTCATTACGTGCTGTGACTGCCGTGATAGTCCCGTGGACTTCAGCTTTACCAGCAATCCAGGAGAAGTTAGCTTCTTTATTAAATGTCTTTAGAAAGTGACTGCACTCCCCTCAGCAACTGTATCCACTCCATCAACTAATCTATCTAATTTAATCAGATGTAATTTATCTTTAACAAGTTCATCATTTTCTACCTTGCATTTCTCCACACAAGTAAATTGATTTTAAGTTGTAATGTCTCTTAAAGTCCCTCTCTTGCTCCCCAATGCTGGACTGATCGGTCCCTGATGTTGGGGCAACTGGCCTGTAGATCCCAAACCCCTGCCCCATGGATCCTTGATGTTGGACTAATTAGCTTATCATTGCCAATTTTGAATCTTTTTGAACAAAGGTATAGCACTTGCAATCCCTAGTCCTAATGCACCATTTTCAAATTCAAGGAGAGTTGGAAGATTTTGTCCAAAACTCCTACTATATTCTGTCAGTAACCACAAATGGCAGCTGGATGACTTTTCTACTTTGAACATAGAACATAGAACAGTACAGGCCCTTTGGCCCACGATGTTGTGCTGACCTACTATCCTACTAAGATCGATCTACCCTACATTTTACTATCCTTAATTTGCCTATCCAAGAGTCGCTTAAAAGTCTCCAAAGTATCTGACTCTACTACCACTGCCGGCAGTGCATTCCACACGCCCACCACTCTGTGTGAAGAACCTATCTCTGACATCTCCCCTATACCTCAAGTCACCTCTCATCCTTCTTCGCTCCAATGAGAAAAGCCCTAGCTCGCTTAACCCTTCCTCATAAGACCTGCCCTTCAGTCCAGACAGCATCCTGTAAATCTCCTCTGCACCCTCTCTAAAGCTTCCACATCTTTCCTCTAATGAGGTGACCAGAACTGAACACAATATTCCAAGTGAGGTCTAACCAGAGTTTTATAGAGCTGCAGCATAATCTCACAGCTCTTGAACTCAATTCCCCTGCCAACACACCATACGCCTTCTTTACAACCCTATCAATTTGGACGTGGACCCCAAGATCCCTCTGTTCCTCTACACTGCCAAGAATCCTGCCATTAACCCTCTATTCTGCATTCAAATTTGACCTTCCGAAATGAATCACTTCACACTTTTCTGGGTTGAATTCCATCTGCCACTTCTTTGCCCAGCTCTGCATCCTGTCAATGTCGCATTGCAACCTACAACAGCCCTCCACACTGTCCACAACTCCACCAACCTTCGTGTCATCGGCAAACTTACTAACCCACCCTTCCACTTCCTCATCCAAATCATTTATAAAGATCACAAAGAGCAGAGGTCCCAGAACAGATCCCTGCGGAACACCACTGGTCACCGAGCTCCAGGCTGTATACTTCCCAGCTACTACCATCCTCTGTCTTCTATTGGACAGCCAGTTTTCCTGATTCCCATGCCTCCTTACTTTCTGAATGAGCCATTTGAGTGCTTTGAAACCTTCAAGTATCCAATTTCTCAACTGCCTCCTACAAACTCTTTGAACAATAAGCCACAGTCAGTTGTACGTAGCTAGAAAAAAATGCTTTTGATTTAAAAAACAATAGAACAAGTTTAGAGAGACCATGTTTGGGAGCCAAGGGAAAAAAAATCAAATTGAAATGCACACAATATGATGTGTGTTAGTTTGAGTAGAGGGAGAGTGTGTTGCGGTGTTGACTGTCATACATGTATTTTTTTCTGTTTGTTGAAACTAGTCTCTTAGAAATTGTAGTACATTTGAATCTCTTAAAGTCATACAGCATAGAAGGTGACCCATCAGCCCACCATGTTTATGCCGACCAACAAACACCAAATTACGCTATAATCCCACTTGGACCATAGCCTACTATGCACTGGCATTTTTAAGTACTCATCTAGATGCTTCTTGAATGTGGAAGAGTCTTGCCTCCGCTAACCTCTCAGGCACTACCCTCTGGATGAAATCGTTTTTCCTCAGATCTCTTCTAAACCACTCACTCTCACATTAAGCCTATGCCCTTAGATGTGTCAGCCATGGGGAAGAAATTCTCATGATACTTTGTCTATGTCTGTCATAACTTTGTGTATCTTGATCATATCCTCCTTTAGCCCCCGTGCTGCAAGAAAAACAGTCTCCAGTGCAATCATGTCCTGCTAATAGTGTGGTGACCAGAACTGCAGATAGTATTCCATATGTCACCTAACCAAAGTTATATAGTTGTAACAAGACGTCCTTGCTCCTATATTGTACATCCTAGCTAATGAAGCAAAGCATCCCATGTGCCTTCTTCACCACCCCATCACCTGACACCTCCTGGAATATGTGGACTTGTTCACCGAGGTCCCTTTGTTCCTCAGTACTCTTAAGGACATACCGTAAATTGTATATATCCTTCCCTTATTAGACCTCCCAAAATGCATCACCTCATACTTAAAAGGATGAAATTCCATCTGCTATTCTTCTGCCCAATTTACCAGCTGATCAGAATCAAACTGTAGACTGACACTATCCTCTTCACTATCAATAACCCCACTAACGTATTTTTCTCTTTCCAGCACACTTCCAACGTGCTGAGTGCTGTTCTTTTGCTCTTGAAAGAGCTCGATGGAGACGGACTGGAGATTGTATACAGAACGACAGAGCAGAAACTCCAAATGTTGCACAGGAAAGAAACTGAACAGGACCAATGAGCTACAACCGACGAGGCTCACAGACAGTGCAAGTTGATTTTGACTCATGGGAGCTGTTTCAAAATTCAAGGAAATGCCAGAGAAAATTAAAACTAGGACTTGTAGACATGAGGTGAAGCAACTTCACTGAAGTGATAACATCATAGGCCTAGACAGTATCTATCACATGATTTACCACTGTCTTCCCTAAGAGGAACAGCTTATTGTGACCAGTAGCTGCATAGGTACATCCATCCTTGTAATCACTGTTCCTGGTTTAACAGAAGAGTTCAAATTCACCAGTTATCCTCAAGTTAATGCAGATCTGACTGGAGAGGCCAGTTGTGTTACTGTATGAAAAGGTAGTAGCACAATAAAAGGGAACATTTGCAAGGAAAACGAATCTCATACTTCCTCTCTACAAGTTTAAGGATTTAATATTGCTTGTCAGAATTTCTTTGTCCTCTTATCCTTGCAATCTTTTGCCACAAGTACTGATCTGAATAAAAATCTAATATGAAAATACTTCCTACCATCAGCGCGTCAGCGTGCAGAGTGTGGATCTTGACAAGTGCAGTACCAAAATTTCTGTGCATCCAATCAGTCACTATCTGAAGACTCCTGACATTTTATTATAGACAGTTCCATTGAGCCAGTGTTATTCCTTCTGGTTGAACAGCCATCACCACTGTTCAGCTTTTGCATGGACAAACATGACCATGGAACTAAACAAGCAACTGTCAGTGTTGCTGGAGGAGGGACTGGAGGAAAAACTACAAACAAATTCAGATCCCAGAGTACTAAAACACATGAATTTATTTATTTAGACCACAGGTTTTATGAATTTGCTGGGCTTTTCTGTCTCTAGTTTGCTATCTGAACCAAGATAAGAATCCAGTAGCCTCATTATTCCCAAATATATTATAACATCCTCCTAAAGACTCCTGCCTGTAGTGTGTGTAACTAACTAACTATTTCAGAACACTTGTGATTTTGATATCACAGCGATAAACTGGTGAATAATTGAGTAGTGCACGTAGCTTTACAATGTAAAAACCAATTATTCTACACTTGCAGTTCTCAAGTTTCATGTTTGATTCTAGGTGGAAATGTATTTCAGAGCTCAATTTTTTGAGATGCTTAATTTACTGGATTTTATCTTTGACAGGGAGGGGAAGATTATAGGTGTACTTGGTAGTGGCATCACACTAAACATGGAAATGTTGGAGGATATTTGCTAAATGCAAATGTGGTGGAAGGTACAGATGAGGAGAATCCTCTTATGGTTATGGAAGGGAGGGAAAGGGGTGACAGCAGAGGGTGAGAAATGGGTTGGACAGTCAGCTACTATAGAGGGAGTGGCAGGCAGGTGGAGGAGTTGTATCCTTCATCCCTAATAGAAGATTAACATTGCAGAAGCATTGCTGTTGAAAGTTGCATTATGTGGTCAGAGTCGATGGTAACAGAAGAACTGGGATAAGTGGAATGGAGCCCTCCCATGACATTAGAGTGTAAGGTAGTGTAGTTGAGGGAATGATGGAAGTCCGCAGGTTTGTAATGAACTTTAGCTCTATTTAGAAATAGAGACAGAGCAGTCGAGATTGAAGAGTCAGGCCCTGTCAAGCCAGGAAGAGTGTGGATGTGGGATGCAAAGGTTAAGGGCAGAAAGCAATATACCCAATTAGAATTAGGGTAAGGTCCCCCGAGTAGGAATGCTCCTACAAACGCTCCATGCTGTATCAAAAGGGACACTCTATTTTGAAAGAAGTGGAATCGAGGAGAGATGGTTCAGAGAGAAAGGACAAGTCGAGCTAGGTGCAGAAGGATAGGGTGGATGGGGACTGCTTAGACATGGTTTTGAGGAAGTAACCACAGAGAATCTGTTTCTGAAGAAGGGTCCCGACCCGAAATGTCAACTTTCCTGCTCCTCTGATGTTGCCTGGCCTGCTGTGTTCTTCCAGCTCCATACTGTCTTATCTCAGCCTCCATCTTCTGCAGTTCCTGCTAACTCAGAGAGTCTTCAGACTATCCCAATGAGATTTAAGGGGTAGGGAGAATAAACAGGCATGGTACAGAGAGTGTTAGGGACAGGAAATCAAAAATGTTTAAAATAATGGAGAGCATCAGAAGAATCACAAAAGCAGGTAAAATGTGTTCAACCTTTATAAATGTCTGGGTAGGCCACATTTTAAATCTGGCTGAAAGATGAGAGGATGATTGTGAGGTTTACAGGAAATTCACAGGAATATTCAAGGTCTGAGGGGATTTAACTGCAACGTTAAGGATGCAAAAGCTAAAATTGTTCTGTGGACAAAGGAGTTTGAGAGGCAGTCTGATAGAGAGTGGTTTAAATGCCAAGATATTTGGGAACGCCATTCAAAATTTTTTTAAAAAACAATGCAATAATCCACAATCTCTTTGAATGAATCTTGTTCTATACATGGATTCCACTTTGAATCTGTTCCTGAAATTTAATTCCAATGAAAAAGAGGGTACACATGATGTAATGAGACAGGCTAGGCCAGCATTTATTCTGCATCCCTAACATTTAAATGTTAACCACATTGCTGTGGGTCTGGAGACACAATGAGACCAGACCAGGTAAGGATGGCAGTTTACTTCCATTAAAGGACATAAGCTATTTCCATTAGTTGCGGATTCTAGAAGTAGGGTGCATATTCTGAGAATTAGGCCCAGGCTGTTCGAGAGATGCCAGGAAACACTTCTACACATAAAGGGTTGTAGACCTCCCATAAATGGCAGTGGATGCTGGATCAGTTGTTAATTTTAAATCTGAGATAGGTAAGATTTTCTTAGGCAAGTGTTTTAAGGGATATAGGCCAAAGGCAAGTGGATGGAGTTAGGGCATAGATCAACCAGGATCTCATTGATGGTAGAACAGGTTTGATGGACTGAATAGCCTACTCCCCATTCCTAAATCAATATCTGGTTAATAAGGTTAGATCACATGGGATCCAGAAAGAGCTAGCCAGTTGGATGCAAAATTAGCTTGAGGGTAGGAATTAAGTCTTGTCCTAGACACCATCATCACCATCCCTGGAAATGCCCTGTCTCACCAGCAGGATAGCCCCAGCAGAGGTGGCTGCACAATGGTGTACAGTCGGGAGGGAGTCCTCAACATTGACTCCGGACCTCATGAAGTCTGATTGCTTCAAGTTAAACATGGGGAGGGAAACCTCCTGCTAATTACCACGTTCTGTCCTCCCTCAGCTGATGAATCGGAGGATGGCAAGGTCACAAAATTTACCCTGACAGGGGGATTTCAATGTTGACTGCCAAGAGTGGCTTGGCAACAGTACTACTGCTTGAGCTGGTTAGGTTTTAAAGGACATAGCTGCTAGACTGGGTCTGGAGCTAGATCCTATACATCTAGTAACTCAAGACTGGGCAACCATGGGGCACTGTGGGCCATCAACTGCAGCACAATCTGTAACCTCATTGCACGGCATATCCCTCACTCAACCATTACATCAACCCAGGTGATCAACCCTGGTTCAATGGAGACTGTAGGGACGGCATGCCAGGAGCAGAACCAGGCATACTTGAAAATGAGGTGTCAACCCCGTGAAGCTACCAGAGAGGACTAGTTGCATGTCAAACAGCATAGGCAGCAAGGGATAGACAAAGCTAAGCGAGCCCTCAATCAACAGATCAGATCTAAGTTTTGCAGTCCTGCCATATCCAGACATAAATGGTGGTCGACAACTAAACAACTCACTGAAGGAAGATGCTCCACAAGTATCCCCATCTTCAATGATGGAAGAGCCAAGCACATCAGTGCAAAAGATAAGGCTGAGGCTTTTGCAGCAATCTTCAGCCAGAAGTGCTGTGTGGATGATCTATCTTGGTTTCCTCCAGTGGTCCCCAGCATTACAGATACCAGCCTTCAGCCAATTTGATTTATTCCATATGATATTAAGAAATGGTTGGCAAAACTGAATACTGCAAAGGCCACGTGTGCCGACTACATTCTGGCAATAGTACTAAGGCTTGTCCTCCAGAACTTGCTGCTCCCCCAAGCCAAGCTGGTCCAATATAGTTGCAACACTGGCATCTACCCGACAATGTGGAAAATTGCCCAGGTATGTTTTGTACATAAAAAGCAGGACAAATCCAACCTGGCCAATTACTACCCCATCAGTCTACTCTCAATCATCAGTAAAGTAATGGAATGTGTCATCAACGGTTCTATCAAGCAGCACCTGCTCACTACGCCCAGTTTGGGTTTCACCTGGATCACTCAGCTCCGGACCTCATTCCAGCTTTGGTTCGAACATGTACAAAAGAACCGAATTCCAGAGGCAAGGTGAGAGAGACAGCCCTTGACATCAAGGCTACTTCAACAGAGTGTGGCATCAAGGAGCCCTGGCAAAACTGGAATCAATGGGAATCCAGGGGCAAACTCTCCAGTGGTTGCAGTCATACTAACGCATAGGAAGACGGCCGTGGTTGTTGGAGGTCAGTCATCTCAGCTCCAGGATATCTCTGCAGGAGTTCCTCAGGGTATTGTCCCAGGCCCAACCATCTACAGCTGCTTCATCAATGACCTTCCCTCCAACATAAGGCTAGAAGTGGGGATGTGTGCAAATATTGGCAAAATGTTCAGCACCATTCACAACTCCTCAGATATCCAGGCTTGGGCTAACAAGTGGCAAGTAAGATTTGCACCACATGTCATAGGGTGGTTTTCGAGCAACAACCGCCTACCCTTCCTGGACATAAACAACGGGGATCTCCAGACTAGCATATATAGAAAGACCACACATACGGACCAAATACTCAATTACTCTAGCAAACACCCCAACACCCACAAATGGAGCTGCATCAGGACACTACTTAAATGAGCCACAACCCAGAACTATGCAAAGCAGAATGGGAGCACTTACATGGAGTCTTCAAAAGAAATGGAAACCTGAAAAGCACAATCCGCTGTTACCTCCGAAAGAGACACAACAAGACCAGAAGGACTTTTCAGAGATGACCACAAGACTACTCAGACCCCTAGGTATCAGAGTAGCCCACAAACCGACAACCACCCTACGACAGCTACTGATGAACGTAAAGGTTTCCATACCCAAAACCAGCAAAACTGGGGTAATATACAAAATAGCATGCAAGGACTGTGAGAAACACTATATAGACCAAACTGGAAGAAAATTGATTATACGGATACATGAACACCAAGTAGCCACCAAGAAACGTGATCAATTCTCACTTGTCTCACTGCACATGGACAACAAGGGACACAAATTCGACTGGGACAACACATCGATATCGCACAAGCCAAACACAGACACACTAGGGAATTCCTGAAGACCTGGTATACACATTGAATTAGATCCTGTGTACAAACAACCGAGAAACAAAACATGAAGGAA